TACCCCTAACCTATAACATATTTTTCGCCCGCCTGCAGATGTTAATTCCCTGTGAGGAAGTTAAGTCTGTATATCTGGATTTTTGTATGAGCTGTTGTTCGAAGCAGCTTCTTTGTCGTGAAACAACGTTTGGCCGTTGTTATCTAGTAGAACTCGATCCAATCGGGCTGCATCTAAACGCATCCATTGCGCCTGCCTCCTTTGAAGTTCGTTCGTAGCGGCTCGTTATGGCCGACATGACGCCGGACCCAATCTCATGCCGTGGCCAGCTTGACACCGAGATCTTCGGCAACACTTTCCCACACGCTTCCGTTGCGTGCGGTTTCGACGACCCGAAGCTTCGTCGCGAAGGCGTAACGTGCGTACTTGACTGGTATCTGGAAGCTTGGCTTGGCTTAGACGTGCAAATTGGGAACTGAGACTGCTGTAAGCAGCGCCAAGACTGCAGCACCTGCAAGCGCGGCCTCTACAGAGCGGTTTGGCGCGAAAGTAGCGCGAGAGAGTCACTCATCCCGTGGAGTTCGCGCGCTAGCTGCGGTTTGGCGCGCTAGACAGCTTGAAGTTGAAGTCTTCGATCGGTTCTTGAATTATATCAAAATTCGAATATAAGTTACTGCGGTGCTTTTGCGAATTTGCCTTTACCTTGCTTTTGCACTTGCCGAATGTTAATTGGTTTTACGAAATAGGACTGGAAAAGGTGTAAAACGTACGCCAACCTTTGCTGGCTGTGAGCCACGTGGCCATTTAGCAATCTGATCCCACGGTGAAAGACGGGAGTTCAAGAGCTGGCTAAAGAGGGCCAGCAAACGGCTGACGAGGTGATCAAGTAAACTACAGTGTCTACGAAGCAAGTTTCAAAAAAAATTTCTACGTCGCTAACGGCTACTCATATCTTCGTAACGAGCACCATCTCGAGCTCGCAGTCGTATTGGTTGCATACTTGCAGAGCATCTTGGACTTCAGTTCTATCTCGCTCCAAACTGCTGAGAAAGCGAGGTCAGCTGTCGCTGGTTACTTTTCTTCTCACGAAAAAAGCGATTGCATCGATGTGAAAACATGGTGTGTACGAGAAGAGAAATCTGAAAAAAAAAACGTGGATATGGGAATCCAGCTAGAGACCCCTATCGTTCGCCAATTCATGCGTTGACTCAAGAAAAAGAAGGATTCAAAGTAAGTGCCAGTAAAAGCGGTCCCGATATCGTTAGACATGTTTACGATTCTTCACGCATTCCTCGATTCTCCCACTGGCCTGAAAGGATTTAGCAAAGAAAGTCGTGTGTGGTTTAAGTGTCTCGTTCGTCGTTTGCCTTCTACGACATGTGCGGTAATAACGAGGTTTTGACTCTCATGTGGAAGGACGTGTCGTTGCGCCGATTCCGCCCAAGCGTCGTTGATCCAGGTGAATTCATCGAGTATGGAAATATGCTCTGTTCAATCGGAAAACCGCTGTGGCAGAAGGGCGCACGTATAAATTGCATCGTATGTCCAAGAATGACCCAAGACCCATCTACAGGCTGTGAACAGGTGTGCGTTGGCTGGGGGAAAGAAGATGTCTGAGCAGCTCTGCATCACCTTGGTCAAGTGCAGGGTATAATCAGGAATGAAAAGCAGATTACTAGGTATGTGGCCAAGCACTGGACTAACAATTGGTTTACGTCGCACACATTTCGCCGTGCTGGTGCTCAATACTGTATCATGTATGCGCAGCTTGGTCGTTGTTAGTCGCTGCGTACGATTAAGTGGTGGGCCGGGTGGAGTGTCGCCGAGAAAACGAGACGTTGGTTCGATGCTCGATTTTATCATCCAATCGGAGGAAAGTGAGCTAGCGGACTGCTTGGCGCCGGACAAGATATATTTGATCGGGTGCCCTAGTGCTCCATTCGAAGCCATCATGATTAACGACGAAGAACCTATCCTAAAACGGCTCTGTTGACTTGAAACACTGATACTGGAAAT